TTACCCTACTGCAAAAATCACATTTGACAGCTTTTTCATTTCAAAATAGACCAAGTATCTCACTCCTAACACTTTAATACCTAATATAACACATATACAATGACTAATGTAGACCATAGGCCCTTCCATCATGCATAAACCTTGTCTAATGTATCAATTACAATATTCACCCTTTCATTGCCATTTACACATCATATGGCCAATTTACCTCTATGAGTCCCAAATGCCTCAAAGCATAATATGTGGCCATGGACAAGTCTCGTGCTCACCAAAGTATCAATATACACAAGAGGCATGAAATATACATCAACATGTGGAAAACTTAGAATATAATCTTGAACACTAGAGCATGGCAACATAAACATGCAACTTGTTCATAACCTAAGTCCAAAATGCTAAACACAATGCTATGTGCATCTAATATAACTCTCCAAAATGTTATCCTCTCCATATGCACACCATGATCAACTCCTCCTCTAAGCAGGCCTCTTGCCCGAAGATCCTCCATGCTCACTAAAACCTGAAATGATGTCTCCAAACGCGGGGTGAGATATACAAATATATATCAGTAACCCAGAGATTCTGGAGATTACTCCGCCCCATGGCTCACTTAGATGTAAATTATTAATACAATACAACAACCAAAAAGGGATAAAGCAGGGGATTTAGTGAAGCAGGGAAGCATGGGGAGTAAAAATACGATGAAGCTGGAATTGTTTATGCCAAAATCACGCAACATCCGGCCTATTGGCCTCGGCATATAGCCTACGGGTTCTCATCCAAGGAGTGTTCCCAGAACATCAACCAAGGCACCCTCCATCCATATACACCCGAGACATTCCTAGAGTGCTCCTCAACGGATAACAACTCCATGACCCCAGGTCAACTGGAACTCCCTCATGAGACCTATCCAGTGGAAGTCCGTAACGCCCGAAGGCAACAGTCAACTGGCCAGAGACACGATACATCCTATGTACCACTATACATACAATAATGTATGATCATGTTATACTATACTATCAACATACTCCTCCTACCTCTACCCCAGAGGGGCATGGTGGAGCACACGCGGAGATTAACCCCAGTACCAAGGGATTACCTGATGAAAACTCCCTCTCTTGGTAGCTCCAAATCAATATGTCACCGAGCTTGGTTCAATAAGAAATGCTTACACATAGGCCATTTCCATTAAATATAATCAACCAAGATATATACATATTATCCAAGTATTCATTCATATTTATATAATTACTTACCAAATTCCTTTGGTCCCTTTTGGTCAAGGACCAAAGGCAACCCACCAAGCTCAAGGCTACAAGTTTACATCCGTAGGAGGCAACCTATAATGATCACACAAAGATCATCAATACAAGGTGCAACTACACAAGATTACAAGGCACCAAAGTCCACCCCCACACATGCACTATGATTCGACCATATGGCCCAATTTTATCAAGCCATTTCCTTAATTTTATTTCAAGGTTCCCATGGTTTCCTAAACTTACCATAACACCAATTCAATTCAATATCATCATAACCACATTCTCCTTAATTTACCTCATTTAGGCCAAATACACACACTCACACACATCCAATATTTTTCCTTCCAATTCCACCACATCACACCCACATACAACCCATTTAAACACCATTCATAATCACACAACATCAACTACACAATTTTTACATCATCCATCCTTATTTCCCCTCATTGGCCGAATTCAACATCCATGGGTAGCAAAGGATTTCTAACTCATTTTAACACTCCCACACATCATACAATCCTATATTTAACTCATACAAATACTTCACAACTCAATTACACCATCATCCAATATATCAATTTCATAAAGTATTGAAATTCTAACTCAAATTTCCTAAGTTATTCAAATATTTCCTCAATAATTTTCATGGTTTCTATCACTATAAAATATCATTCTAAGCCACTTTTATCTAATACACAATTTCAATTTGATCTCTCTAACTACATCAATTCAAGTATGCATACCCTGGGTCACCAAATTCAAATCCAAAGATACAACCAATGAAATGTGTGGAAACTTACCCACAAGCAAGGCCTAAGACTCCTCCAAGTGATATCCAAGCAATGGCTTGAACAAACAACCCAAGAACACCAAATCTACACACTTGGCCGCGGATTTGAGTGGGAAATTTCTCACAAACTAGTGGATTTTAAGCCTTAAAACTACCATGGTTGTGTTTGGAAGGTCCATTGCTTAAACTTTGATAACAAACTTTGTTGGATTTGAGTGAGATTTGAGTGACTTAGGAAGGATTGAAGTTGAGCAAAAACTTGCCCAAACACCAATGGAGGCCACAGGTGGAGAAGGAGGGAGGAGAGAGAAGGTGCAGAATTTGTGTTTTTCCATGTGGCTTAAGTCCACTTAAGTGGGGCGGGTCCCACCGCCACCTCACGCGATTCAAATCTCCTGCCTATTCCACTAAATGTCCATAATTTCCTAAAATATTTAGAAACTCCAATTTTTAACATTAACTATTGTCCTTTAATTGTCCTTGATCATATGAATTCAAAGTTTTAAGCTGTTACACACGTTGTGGGCACGCTTCCTCAAAAATTCTAATTTTCATCAATTTTCACCAGAGAGAAGGGAAAAAATTAGGGATTTGAAGAATAGTAAAGTGGGAAGGTCCAGAGAGAAGAACACGAGGGTGGGCATGGGTTGGATAAGGAAAAACAAAGTAACAAATATGAGAACGTGTCCCATGATCAAAAACTAACTGATACCATGTTAAAATTCAATACCATGGATAAATATCTGCTTTCATTCATATTTTTTCCCCCTGAATGAGGTTTATTTATACAAGTAGATATAAGAAAAAATCCATAACAATAGGAAATAGCCTAACAATTTAATCATATTTACACAAAATGCTAACAACCAGATTACATTCAAACAGCTTGGGTTCTTATCCAAAGCAACAGTATTTTAAATTCAAAAACTTTCTTTCAACATGTGACCTGTAGGTTGACCCACATGTTGATTTGTCTCATCTCTTCCCTAACTCGTTTTAAATTCCCTCACATAGAGAAAAGTTATCTTGGATTGGTAGGTTGAAATACACAACCCAATTTGTCCCGTTTTGACGGATTGGTACATTGGCCCATCGAGTTCAACCCACTGGCATGTAACTTTTATTTCGTTATTAGAAATATTAATAGGGTTTTATAATGCTTATGTTGCAGTAAAAACCAAATCCATTTATGCACTAACAAAAACTTGTGGGTCCCACTAGCTAAAAAAATAGTATGAAAGCAAAGCGGTCGAAGTATCATTAGGAAGGGTACAACAGGAGAAAAACAACACCCATTAACCCATATTAATATCAATCAATATAACTTTAACTTTGTTTTAAAGCTTAATATAACTTTGGTTCGAACTCCTACTTTGTCAAGATGCATAAGATTTTACTATATATTTTTTAAGAAAAATACTATTAGCTTAAATATCTCAAGAAATCTTTTGGACAAAAATAATATAATTTGATTACAGATATTATATTGTAAGATATATTGGTCAATCAAATATTTTTCTTGTAATGATTCAACAGTGGAAAATTTTAATTCCAACGTCATAAAGAAGTCTCCTAATCTAAAAAACGTGGCAAAAAATTTTCGAATATTGATTTGGTTTCCTAAAGTATAGTACTGATATTAATTGTAAGATGTATGGGTCAATCAAATATTTTTTGTAATGATTGAACAGTGGAAACTTTTAATTCCAACGTCATAAAGAAGTCTCCTAATCTAAAAACAAAGCGAAATATTTTCAAAATATTGATTCAGTTTCTTAAATTATAGTATTGATATTAATTGTAAGATATTATTTGCTCAAACCCAAGTAAATCTTCTGAGTAAGATTTTTTGTAATGAACATCGGAAAATATAATTCGAACGTTGTACCCAAGTTTCCTAGACTAAAAACTTGGCAAAAGATTTGGAATATTGATTCGGTTTCCTAAGTCATAAGATCCAATTTATTTCATTGTATGTCATATCTTAAATTTCTATAAATTCAATTCTCGTGACTCGTGAGACTCTAAACTACTTTGTCGTTCAATCTTTCAGAACTGTTCGAGATCAGCCTTAGTTGAAGGTACGACTTCATACGTTTACATTTACACCGTCACTTTTTCTTCGTTTTTGTGTTGTTTTCTTTCAATGTTTTTTAAGTTTGTTTAAAACCATTTTGCTTTCTTGATAATTTGATATGTTCTTCTCTCTATGTATAATTACTTCTCTAAAATATGTCTCTTACGATCTGTTTTTCACAAGAATTTTCATTGCATAGTCATTGGCCATGTTTGCTTCTCCTTTTCCTTCTTCTCTCAAGGGCTTGTTTGGAAATTAGTTTTAGGAAGAAATTGAAAGCCACGGAAAGATTTTATTAATCTTTTTTCTTGTTTGTGACTTTAAAAAAGTTAGGCAAAGAATTTGAGAATATTTACAAAATCATTCTTGTTCTTGAAATTAAAGTTTTTCAAATTTAAGGAGTTTTAACTCCCAAAAAAAAGAAAGAGATCCCTTTTTTTTCCTTTCTCTCTCTTGATTTTCTTTCCTTTCTTTTCCCTTCAAACTCCAAAATCCTAAAGAACCATTCTTTTTTGAACTGTTGATTATACAACAGCGACAGACTCTACCTTTGCCACCTAAGACCAAGAAAAGTAAGGAATTGCGATAGATTTTTTATTCTAATTTAAGCAAGAATGGTCATTAATTAGATTATTAATTTTTTGGTAATTTGTGTTGTAGATTTAATTATATATTACGAGACGAAGTCCAGTTTTATTTACTAATTTCTGTGTATATGTTGAGTAATTAACTATTAAAGTTCACAGCAAAAGAAAAAGAGAATTAGAGTATATGTTAAATATTTTTGTTATAGTTTTAATTGTATAATTTGAGATGAAGTTCTGTTTTATTGACCACTTTTTGTATTTATATATATACGTAATAGGGAATGGGTCGTTCAAAGACAACCTTCAAACGTATTCCAAATGATAGAGTTCGTAAAGCAACTTTCATGCAGAGAAGAAAGGGACTAATGAAGAAAATATCTGAATTTTCAACTATGTGTGGAGTTGAAGCTTGCTTAATTGTGTATGATGAGAATGGGGATGCTCGACCTATGACTTTTCCCCAACAACCTACAAAGGTACAGTCCATCATTAACAAGTATGAGCGGGAAAAAAATGAGAAACCTTGCAAGATCTTTGATCTTGAAGACTTTTTCAAGAATAAGATGAACATGGTTGAAGCTGAGATTTCAAAAGTGCAGAAAGAGACCCTCAAGATCCAAAATCCAACTTCGCATCCGAGTTTCAATATTCTAGAAGAGGAGCAGTTGAACGAGTTCATTGCTGTGTTGGATGCTAAGCTTGGAGCTTGTAACGAGAGAATTGAGATATTAAAAAAAGAGCATCGAACTGAAGCCAATAATCTCAATTGCATCCAAAGCATGGCTCCGGAGACCTCAGGAGCAAGCCAACTCAATTTCATGCACAACGTGTCTGGAAGCCAACTTATCCCTGCTCCTATGAATGCACTCAACGATTACAATGGGAACATGGTTTCTATGTTGGGTGCTAAGAATGAAGCCTGTAATCAGAGAATTGGTATGCTGCAAAACCAAACTCAAAGCCAATTTATCCCTACTCCTATGAATGCACTCATTGATAATAATGGGAACATCATTTATATGTTGGATGATGGAGCTGGTAGTCAGACAATTGAGATGTCACAAAACGATAATCAAAGTGAAGCCAACTTCAGTTTCATACAAAATATGATTCAAGAGAGTATTGTCTCTGATCAAAGCCAACTCAATTTCATGCCATATAATTTTCAAAACCAACTTATCCCTTTTCCAATGAACGAACTCAATAATTATAATGGGACGATGAATTTTACTAATCAAGTTCAAGTGCCTCTACATTCTACAAATCAACTTTGTAGGCATATGGACTGTGCTGGACAACTTGATGAGCTTCACCATTTGACAGGGTCTCAGAATTCGGCTAATGAAATAAGTGAACTTTTGAATTGGACCGGGGAACCTGATGAATCTGTGTTGCTGAATAATCCCTTGCCACCACCGATGTATGAATTTCAAAACAATGCGTGGTTATCCTACCACATGAATCCGTAACCGTTTGAGAGTTGGATAGCATTCTCCGAAAAGCTATACCTCTTGTTGACTCTCTAGGATTTTTTTTTTTGGTTCTATTACCCAGTAAAAAGAGTGAACTTGCATGCTATTATGTTAAATTTGCTTTTGTTGATGAAAACTGAAGTGTTTAATTTTCAACTCAACATTTTTGTCTTCATGGCCTGAAAAAGAACATCAGTAATCAATATATATACTATACTATAACCACTTGATATTTCTTTAGGAATGAGAAAATTATTGAAGTATAGAATTTTGAGGTAGAAGTATACAAAGTAAGATAGATTGTAATTCAAACTAAAATACTTTCGTTATTAGTTTTAATGAGTGAAGAGCATTGATTTCTGACATTTCCGAAGGCAAACTTCTGCTTTTGACTACTTCAAGAAAAACTTTAAATGATCTTGGATCATAATTTCTTTTGACAAACCTATAAATATAGGCTACTCTACACTAATCCAAGAAGGTAAAATTATTGAGATGTTCATGGATGGTAATGTTCTCAACCTTTTACTGATAAATTTCATCTCGAGGGTTCCAAACTTATATTCAAGTAGTCAGTAAAAATGTGAGTTTTATATTTGTATGACTTAATGCGTTATGGATCAAATCCAATAAAAGGGAAAATTTGACTGCACAAGACTCCTTGGGTTCTTATCCAAAGCAACAGTATTTTAAATTCAAAAACTTTCTTTCAACACTCTCTCTCAAGTTGGTGCATGAATGTCTATCATGCCCAACATGCCAATCATTTCTTCAAAGGCTCTTCCTGATACAGCTTTGGTCAATACATCCGCAAGATGATCTTCAGACCGTACATAAGTTTGAATAATTTTTTCACTAGCTTTTCTTTAATAAAGTGCCTATCTACTTCAACATGTTTTGTTCTATCATGTTGAACTTGATTATGAGCAATCTCTATTGTAGCTTTATTATCACAATATAGGTTCATAGGCTGATCATATCTGATTCTCAAGTCTGTTAAGATGCTTTTAATCCATAGTAATTCACAAATACCATAAGCCACACCTCTATATTTAGCCTCAGCACTTGATCTTGCCACTACCTTTTCTTTCTTACTTCTCTACGTGACTATACAAAGGTAAAGTACCCTAAAGTTGATTGCCTAGTGGTTTTATCTCCAGCCCAGTCCGAGTCAGTGTATCCTTCTATACCAGCTTTATTATTTTTATAGTACAAGAGGCCTTTTCCTGGTGAACCTTTGAGGTATTTAAGGATGCAATATATTGTATTCATATGCTCTTCACTAGGAGAATGCATGAATCTACTCACAATGCTCACAGAATAGGCAATGTCAAGTCTAGTATGTGATAAATTAAATAATTTTCCTACTAACCTCTGGTATATGTTCTTATCTGTTTCATCTTGATCTAGGTACACCACAAGAAAGTGATTCATCTCAATTGGAGTATCAATTGGCTTACAAGCCAACATTCCAGTTTTGGCTAAGAGGTCCAAAATGTACTTTCTTTGTGACAGAAATATGCCTTGTTTGGATCTTGCAATCTCTATTCCAAGAAAGTATTTTAATTGACCTAGGTCCTTCATTTCAAATTTAGCAGCTAACCTCTTTTCAAGTAACTTCATCTCTTCCACATCATCACATGTTAACACCATATCATCCACATAGACAATGAATATGGCCACCTTTCCATTATTATGCTTTGTGAACAATGTATGATCTAAATTACTTTGCTTATACCCAAACATGCCCTAGGTGATTGTTTAAGGCCATACAAGGATTTGTTTAGCTTGCATACTACATTTTCTTTTGAAGGTGCTAGCTTTACTCCTGATGGGACCTCAATGTACACTTATTCTTCTAAATCACCATTCAAGAAAGCGTTCTTCACGTCAAATTATTGTAGGGGCCAATCTCTGTTAGCTGCTATGGATATCAGGATTTGAATTGTGTTGAGCTTAGCCACCGAAGCGAATGTATCTTGATAGTCAACACCATATTTTTGGGTATATCCTTTTGCCACGAGTCTTGCTTTGTACCTGTCAATTCTTCCATCTGCCATAAGCTTTACGGTGTACACCCACTTGCATCCAATTATCTTCTTGCCATTTGGTAAGGAAGTTAATTGCGAAGTTTCATTTTTCTGAAGTGCCTTCATCTCGGTGTTCATTGCTTGCTTCCATCTAGGATCTTCCAATGCTTACTGCATACTATTAAGAATAGATACAATGGATAATTGATCAATCGATAGAGCATATGATTCAGATAATATAATAGCCCAACTTAATTAATTAGTAAATCAAGTGTAATTAATTAATTAAGCATGTTTTACTGAGTGAAATTAAGTATGAGGCTTAATAAAATGAATCTGAGTCACTTTGGAGTTAAAAAGTGTACTCAGTGAAAATTAAGGGGTATAAATGGGTACTGGCAAAAGTACCCAAAATATAAAAATAAAAATAGTAATATTCCTAGAATAATATTCCAGACTTTTGGGTAAAGTTTGGTAATTATTTGAGTTGAATAGATAGACGAACCAATACCCGCTTAAAGCCACTTAACCTATGTTAAGTGACTAAAAGCCAAAAGAATCCCCATTTTCCCCCCATTGCCGTCGACTGCAACAGAAAGAAGGAGGAGAGAAGAGAGGGAGAAGAGAGGGAAGAAGAAAGGGGAGATCATAGAGTGAGCAAATCTCAACCAAATCCATCCGTTCAAAAGCCTAAATCGCTTAGAATCTCGCCCTCTTTCATAATCCTAGCTTTGTTTTGAGTGGGGAGCATTGTGGAGAGAGATATTACCTCTCAAAAATTCGGCCCTTTGGTGAAAATTGGGGTTTTGAGAGTTTCTACCTCCATTGAAGCTTGAGGAGCCATCAATCCTTGGTTGTGTGACCATTGGTGGTAAGATTCTAACCCTTGAACCTCATGATTCCTTGAAATTTGCATGAGTTAGGGTTTGTGAATAGTAAATTGGGATTTTTATGAAATGAAGTTGAATTGGCTATGTTCTAGGAAGAATGGAGCTTAGAGCATGTTATGGAAAATGCTAGGAATGTCATTTAACAGGTGGAAATGAGCCTAGATAGTCATTTGATAATTGTTCATAATATTGGAAAATTCATGCTTGGATTGGTTAGTATTCTAGCATGTTGAACAATTAGTGAGTTGAATGATTGATTGGATCCTTGTGATGTCTAGGATTGAGACATTTGGACCAACCGTGAGTGATCAACCATTGGAGCAAGCTATGGAGCTTGATTAGCTCCATTGGATAGGTGAGTTCATGCTTATGTTTGGTATGAATTGTATAGCTTGGTTGATAGCTATGAGATGTTATTGGATGCAATATGTGTTGATTGCATTACACCATGTGTAGGTGTATGTTTGTAAAAGTTGATTGCTGAAACTGTTGGTGAAGAACAAAGGTTGACTGAAGCATTGAGGTAAGCCTTCGGACCTTGGGTGTAATTCCCTTGACTGTTCTACCAAGCCCTGAAAGGGTAGAGGTTGTGATTGTGTATATAAATGCAATAAAATAGTGTAATGCTTTGTTATACGTATGTGTATGCATTTGGTGTGGCATAGGATGGTGTTTCCCTATGTTGGTATGTTGCATGACGATGCGTAAATCATACTTGGTAGTTAGCTGGCCAGTAGGACTATTTGCATCTGAGTTTCCTTAGGACAGCTTGAGAGCTCGAGGGATTTCTCCTGGAGATGTAGTGCACTTTGCATAGATATGTATTTACTGCATTATTATTGTTATTGCTATTACACTGGTATGGAACTGTGGGGTGGAGAGATGCTCCAAGGACCCCTGGTTTACTGGATATATTCGTATATCTCACCCCGTGTTGTGGGGACCCCCTTTCAGGTAAGGATGCTGCAGGAGCCTCTGGTGGCAAGTGGCCATATCTGGATTATGCATGAAATGTGGCATTTCTTTTGAGTTTATGCATGCCTTTTGTAGTTGACATGTATAGGATTTTATTTTGAAAGCCCATGGTCATTTGTATATCTTGATTCATTGGATGAACTTAGCCTATGCTCATGCCTTTGGTTACACCTTTTGTTGATGGGGGTCAAGGGAATGATCATAGTGTTTTGTAAGCTAAGTTCTATGATTTGTAAAGGATATGTAATGTAAATGATGCCTACTTGGAATTCAATATATGCATGCTTGTTATGTATTGAGTTGTTGAATTGGTTGGGCTGAAAATCAATTAGGTACCCTCTTCGTTTAAACTGGTAAACGATGAGAAAACAAAGGTCATGCTGCCCAAAGTCTAGCTAAATCTCATGAGGAGAGGTTGGATGAGTGCTAGGATTTAGTTTTGGGGCATGGACATTTGTGGTTTGTAATGGGGATGCATATTCCCCTAGGCTTGGACTTGAGAAATGTGGGAATTGGAATTCCCTGGCAGCGCGCCCAAGCGCCCTGCTGCCCCTGCGAGTGCCAATGCATTCTGCCTCCTCGCGCTGGAGCGCCCAAGTGGGGGCTTAAGCGCCCAGGATTGCGCGCTGGAGCGCCCTGGCGTGCGCTTAAGCGCCCCTTGCTGCAGAAAGTTGGGTGGCTTACTGCCCCCTCGTGTTTTAGCGCCCAGGGTGGGGCTTAAGCGCCCAGGGTTGCGCGCTTGAGCGCCCTGGTCCGCGCTTAAGCGCCCTTCGCCACTGAAGGAGGAGATGCTTCTGTCTCTGCGCGCTAAAACGTCCCCGTGGGAGCTTGAGCGCCCAGGCTAGCGCGCCTGAGCGCCCTGTTGCGCGCTTAAGCGCCCATCCACACTGGAAATGCTAATGCTTACTGCCTCCGTGCGCTTAAGCGCCCAGATGGAGGCTTTAGCGCCCGATAGCGCGCGCTTGAGCGCCCGGTAGCGCGCTGAAGCGCGCGGGGCCTGTGACCAACACTCTCTTGTGTTGCTTCAAATGGTCCTAACTTGGGCTACAGTGCTCCGATTTGAGCACGGTTTGAAGCCACAGGTAGCTAATGAAGAAACCTACAATATAGTAGAAGTATTGAACTAAACAAGAAGTAAATTAAAGGTTTAAAAATGGAGAATGAACATGATGTTAAGCTTAATTTATCTGTTTCCGCAAGGTAATTTGGTTATGATCACGAAATTGGGTATTATAAGTTCGGTACGTTTTAAAATGAAAAATTTATCCGGATTTTAATTCAAACCCATGTGATTGTAACTGCGCTTAATATCATAATGCGATGTTAACAAACCGGTTCTAGAACGGGGTGTTACATTTTATGGTATCAGAGCAGTTTCGTCGGGAATAACTGTTAGCTATTGTTGAGTATGCTTAGTGTTTGATGCTTTATAGTTGTTTTAGTACTCTGTATGGTTATTGCATTTGTGATCACTAAGTGTGGGCCTGATCAACTCACTTCTTTGTGTAACATGTGTAGTGACATGACGAGGAACCGAAACAACCCCGGACCATCAAACACCAATGCTCAGCCAGAACCTGTTTTGGCTGCTCTTGTGAGGCCTAGAAGTGGCCGTGGGGCAACGGGCGTACAGCCTGATCCCGTGGCTGAAGCTCTTGCAGCTGTTCAGAGAGAGTTGGCTGCTAGCAGGCAAGCCAATGAAAATTTGTTAAAGACAAATGAAGACTCGCGGACTGCTATGGCCGCGATGATGGCCGAGTTGAGGACGTTGAGGGGTCCTAGGCCCGTGAACCGGCAACCCACTCCTCCTCCTCACACTGCTACGCCTTCTCCACCTCCTTCACAGGAAGAGGGTGGAGTGGGTAACAATGAGGGTGAGGGTAGCCATCACTCCGGAAGTCGGAGTCATCACACTGAGGTTCGTCAACCTCAAGTTGAAAATGTCGGTGATCATGAAATGGAGGAAAGGAGACTGATGGCTTTCCGAAAACATAAACCTCCTTCTTTTAAGGGAGGTTATGAGCCAATGGCGGCTGCAAAATGGCTCCAAGCTATGGAGAAGATATTCAGGGTGATGAGGTGCCCTGACGCGATGAAGTTGGCTTACTCTGTTTATATGCTGGAAGAGGAAGCAGAAGATTGGTGGACAAATACCGTGCAGCCATTAGAAGCTGAAGGTCGGGAGATCACATGGCGGTTATTCGAGACATTGTTCTTGGATAACTACTTCCCTAGAGAGGCTAGGGAACAAAAGCAGAATGAGTATAACGATCTCAAACAAGGGTCGATGTCTATTGACCAATACTTCTCAAAATTCAATGAGTTGGTGAAATACGCCAACTATGGGCGAGCCTTACCCACCCCGGCTGAAATGACCTCCAAGTTCCAATGGGGTCTTAATGAGAAGATGTCTCGGAAGATGTCAAATTGTGACATCCGAGAGTTCAGTCGGTTTGTAAACCAGTGTAGAAAGGTGGAGGAAGTGTATAAGGTGTCCCAAGCCAAGAAGTCTTCTGAGGCCCAGGCACCTAGTTCCAATAAAGCAACGGGCTCAGGTTATTGGAAGAACAGGAAGGTGCAAGGCAAGAAGCTGAATGCGAATAAGCCCTTTGACTTGTTCAAGAAACCCGGTACTCAGAAGAAGTTTGTTGATAGAGGACCTCCTCCCAAGTGCAAGGGATGTGGCAAAGAGCATAGAGGTCCATGTGCTACTGGTGAGGTGATTTGCTTTAAATGTGGAAGATCCGGTCACTACTCCAGGCAGTGTCCTCAGAATGAAGCAAGGACTATGGCAGTTCAAGCTACTGCTGTTCCGGTCTCTGTTGTTCAACCTATGCTAGAGTCTCAGACG